CCCCCCCTCCCCAAATCCCTGTCCCCGACCCCTCCCCTCGTTCTCCCCCCCCACCCACCCACCCCCCGCGACCCTCCCCCCTGCCCCCCATCTTAGGCTGGCAGCAGCCCTTACCGAGAGGCCGGGCCGGTTGAGGGCAAGCGCGGGCGGGCGGGCCGGCCCTCTCGGCATCGGCGCTGCCCGGCCGGAGCTGAGGGGGACGCGGCGTCGGCTCGCTGGCTCGCCCCAGGTGAGGGAAGGATGGAGCGGCGCCTCCCCCTCAGCCTAACCTGGGCACGGCCTCGTCCGCTCCGCCTCTTCGCCCAGGAGGGCCCGCCATTGGCCGCACGCCCTCAGCGGCGATCCCCGATTGGCCGAGGCGGCTGCCACTCGCGCGGCTCCTGGCTCTCGCCCTCAGCAAGTCCCGGGCGGCCGTCGGGAGAGTGGGGGGGGCAGAGAGAGGAGGGGGGGAAAAGGGAGCCCGAGCGACCCCTGCCGGTCAGAGCGCGGCGTTGCCCCCGCGGGAGGCGCTTCCTGCTTTACCTGCCGGCTGGCGGGCACCGCAAGCGGGGCGCGCGGGGCGGACACAGGCTGGATGCTCGCCCGGCCTTTCGGGGGTGGGGTCCGAGCGCTCTCTAAGGGACAGCAGAAAGCCTTACCCCCCACCCTCCTCCTGTCGCGCGCGTGCATAGGTGCGCGTGCACACACACACGCTCGTACAACACACGCATACATACCTTGTGCATCCCCATCACGGCACGAACGCACACCTCACCCTCAGGAGAGCCATGTTCTGTGGAGTGCAAATAGGTGCAAGCCCGTGTTTGTGGGTGGGTGTGTATATATCTGTTTGTCTGTCCGTCTATCTACCTATCTATATCTATCTACCTACCTACGCACAAATGCACACATATACATATATCTACCTATCATTTCTCTACCTACCTACCTGCCTATATCTACACAGACACATATATACCTACCTATCATGTCATCTCTCTTACCTACCTACCTATATCTCTGTCTGTCTGTCTGTTTACTTTTATCTGCCTGCCTGCCTGCCTTATCTACCTGTATCTATTATCTATCTATATATCTATCTACCTACACACAACCCCCCCCACATATATACATATATAAAAGTACAACTATAATGACGTGGGAAAATATCCGAACAAAGCTGAATACCATACATATATCTATCTACCTATCATCTCTCTACCTCTCTACCTATATCTATCTACACACACACATACATGCATATATACCTACCTACCTACCCACCTATCTCTACCTACCTACCTACCTACCTATATCTCTACCTACCTACCTACTTATATCTCTATCTACTTTTTATTTACCTACCTATCACTATATATAGCCATAAAATACAAATGCACACCTCACAGCAAATTCAAATTCTGTATGTATATATATACCTGTACATAGACAAAGTTGTACAAACCTAACCTGCAAACGTTATTTACATTAAAAACAAACTCAGTCCTCTGAATTGAACTGAATTGACCATGCACAAACACACAAACACAAGCAAACAATATACAAAAACAGACGGAGCTGGGCAAACGGGTAACATCCGCATCTACCAAACAATGCAGTACAACAGGCTCAAGTAGCAAGCAGGCAGGCTTAGGAAACTTATTACATCCTAACAAACGCACTGACACCAAACGCGCGAGTTGTGATTGTTTTGCACACTAATTTTACTTGGGCAAAAATGGCATGGTTTGCAATAAATCACCACCACCATCATCAATGCATCATCTACGCGTTATTAAGAGAGGCTCCTATCCCCTCCTTTAAAAAAAAAAAATTAATTAGCCGGCTGACCATTATAATTGCTCCCTAATTCGATCCCCCAATTGATCAAAAGCGCCTAACGATCCGTTGGCAAACGCGGATTGAAAATTTCACTCTCCCAAGGACTAAACCATTCCAACAAGGGGGGAGAGAAAAACGCAACTCTTCTCCCCCCCCTTAGCTTTGCTTTCATGGTTTGATCCGCACCGCGGGCTTCCTGTCCCTTCCCGGCTTCCGTCCTTTCCTTTCTCGTCGGCAATAGCAGGTCCCCGTTTGCTGTCATGGTAAGAAATTGCCGACGGGACGATCGGTCCGAATCCGGTTCCATCGGTTCCGAGAAGGGGGCTTTGGGGCCGGGGTTTACGTGGGGTTGGCGGGGGGAAAAGCTGCTTGAGCTGGGCCGCCCCATATGAGGAATGGGAGGGCGGCGGGAGGGCAGCTATGGGGCGGAGAGTTGAATAGGCCGCGCTGGGGCATAGAAGAAGCGAGGGCTTTGCAATGGGGGTGTGTGGGGGGGACATAAAGTGGGAAGAGAAAGAAATGCTTCCGGGTTGTGAGCCCTTCGCTTAGTGGGCTTTGTAGTCCCCTTCGTTGCCTTGGATTAGAAGCGGGTCCCAGGAAGAGCAAATGCCTTAGGGGCAGGACCCAACCTTTTAGGCAACGTGGTGTTCCCGTAGAGTATACCTTAACCAGGCAAGGTTTGGGGAATTCTGGGAGATGAAGTCCATAAGGACTCCAAAGTCCCTAAGGGAGATTCTGGCCATAAAACAACTGGAGGCACAGGTTGCACGTGTTTGGGGCTTTCTAGGAATGCTAATTTTAAAAGGTGTTTGTCCCCAGTGTGGCTTTTCCCAAGTGGAGAAATGGGGACAACGGACGTTGTTGGTGCTTGATGGCACCAGGATGGAATGCGGGTGTGCAAACACGGGCGTGCAAACATGGCTGTGCAAACAGCGGCCGATGTTGGTCCAGATGTACCCGTGGCCTGATCCATCACAATCTCCATTCGTTTTGATGTTTGCAATACTGGGAATAAATTTGGGGTTTTTCCGTATTTGTTACTGTGTGTTGTGCACCAAAATAACAGGCTCCTCTTTGTAACCTTAAATTGCTTAAATAAAGTGACTTGAATCCCACATAATAACCAAAGTTGGTCAGATAACGCGCTTCTTTCTCCCTTTTTAAAAATTATTCCTAGTGTGGGAATAATTATTCCTAGTTGCTTTATTTTTTTGTTTATTGCAAAAGCAGTGTTTATAAAGCTGTCCACCTTTTGCTCTGTGATGCTAGATGTCCTTCTGCTCCTAGGCCAAGATCAAAGCCCGTGACTTGCGGGGGAAGAAGAAGGAAGAGCTGTTGAAACAGCTAGATGACCTCAAGGTGGAATTGTCTCAGCTCCGCGTTGCCAAGGTGACTGGCGGAGCAGCTTCCAAACTCTCCAAAATGTGAGTTTTTTCCCCTGTGCTTCTCCGGACTCTCTATTGGGGTTGAAAATGAAGACCCCCCAAAAAAACTGTGATGGAATAAACCAGCATTGTTTGTTGCTCGTCTGATCCGATCCTGAATTCCCTCCTGTGATTTATTCATATATATTCTTTTTTTAAATTTCCAGCCGGGTGGTTCGCAAATCCATTGCCAGAGTGCTGACCGTCATTAACCAGACCCAGAAAGAAAACCTCAGAAAATTCTACAAAGTGAGTCAGAAGCATTAATTCCTTCCTCTTTTTGTCGAGATTCCTTTGGGTGGGAAGCCTTATGCCCCAAGAGTGACCAGTTGGGGTTCCTTTGCGGACTGCGATATAAATACGAGGCTGGTTTAGCCACGGAGAGCGGGAGGTTTAATGGCTCAGTGGTTAAAGACACACAGCTGGTCAGCTGGAAATCTTGACAGCTCGGGTTCGAGACCGGAGTGTTGCGTGACGGGAGTGAGTTCCTGTTCTTTGCTCCAGCTCCTGCCCACTCAGCAGTTCGAAAGCATGCAAATGCGAGGAGATAAACAAGGTGCCACTTTGGCGGGAATGCGACAGCATTCCATGCGCCTCGGTGTATCTTCATGCCGGCTGCATGACCATGGAAAATGTCTTTGGGCAATGATGGCTCCCTCGGCGATGAAATGAGATGAGCACCCCTCCCTAGAGCTGGAAACGATCGGGCAGGACAAACCTTTAAAATATTTTAAGACACCTGAGGGCCGACTCTAGTGGCTTGCAAGGCTATCACCCAACACCGCTTACCATTCCGTGGATGCAGTGTGAATCCGCTCTTGCAAAAGCAGGTTTCCTGCTGGGTAGCTTTTGGCAAGCCAGTTTGGTCAGGCCTCTATCCACCAGGTACATTATGCTCTCAGGGTGCTCCATTGTTTCATTTGCATCACGCTCAAAATTGACAATCGGAAGCCAATTTCTCCTGATCTCAGAGGTGTCAGGTGCAATGTTGGTGCAATGTTGCAGCGTAGATGATTTATTGGTCAAGAATCTGGTCAGGTAATCTAAATTGGCACTCAGATAAGCATCAGTGGAATTTAGGAGGGGTGGTGCTCTTGTGGAAACACAGTGATTCTAAACCGATGGTGCCCTTAATTCCCCCCTCCTAGCTCTGCCTGCTCTTCTACAAAAGGTGGCATACAATATCAAGGGTAGCCATTGATAACCTCTGGGAATTTCCTCCCAGGCGTCGCCATACTCAGCCCCGCACACTGTATTCTGAGCATCCAGCATTTATCAGGCTGTGTTGAACTTCTCTTATTTTTTTTCCCTCCTTGGCCACAGGGCAAGAAGTACAAACCGCTGGACCTGCGTCCGAAGAAGACACGAGCCATGCGGAGGCGGCTCAATAAGCACGAAGAAGGCTTGAAAACCAAAAAGCAGCAACGGAAAGAGCGACTTTATCCTCCTCGCAAATACGCCGTGAAGGCCTGAGCCAGTCACTTCGCTATTGACTTGTCAGAGAAGAACTGGCCCATTAAAAAGTGTTTTTTTTCCAACAAAAAGATGAGACTGGTGGTGGTATTTTTTGGGGAGCCCCCGCTGGGCTTGGGGATCAGTAGGGGTCTCTAGCTTTGACGGGTTACTTACCTGCGTGGGCTAAGATGGGTAGGAAGAATTTCTCCCTTCTCCCGTCACGTTATTAAAAGTCACGGTCCCCCACTGAAAAATAAGCAGAGGGGGTCTTTGACGTAATGGCCACAGTTGCAGGGATGACCCTTTTCGCACAACTTCCCTGTGGTCACATGATCTCAATGTCAGGATTCCGGCAGTTGCCCCAATTAAATCCTGAGTCTCGAGCCAAACTTCCAAAACTTCAAAGGGGTTTATTGGGAGTTAACATGTCCGGCACCGCCTGGGTGTAGCTGACTCTGAGACACATTGTCACCCTTGACCCTGGTTTTTCCCCGCCACCCCCTGGGTGTATCCT